TTATTATCATTAGATGAACAATGTTAAAAAATAAAAAAATGATTTTGAGTTTATAAATTTTGAGGAGTTTATAAAGGCTAAAACCTTGAAATCCACAAAATAAATGGTCTAGATTCGTTTTTAGAGGGGACTCATTTGAACCATATCTAGGGTTTAAATTGAACCTTTTTTGGACGATTGATTATTGAGATGAAAAGATTGTGTGTGTAAAATTTGAGGCCATACAAATACAACAAACATGGTTTTCTAGACGTGTAGTTGCATTATACTATGTTACAACCATTGCATTGGGTCATTGCTCATATATATATATATATATATATATGGGCCCGGTTTTTATGCGGCCAAGCCCGCATATGTAGAAATACGGGTTTCTTAATAAATTTATTTTTGAGATGGATTTTAAGACTTAATTATTAAGGACATGTAATCTCTAACATGGAGATCGTGAATATGATAAATAAATAAATTATAGTAAGAAAATATTTGGACCATTAGTTTCCATTGGTTTTAGATGGAACACCTACTTGCATCCATATTTAAGATGGATGCTTTAAACTTTCTGGACCGCATTTGTAGAAATGCAGTACAACCTGCATGAAACAATTTTACTACATATATATATGGATTGTAGACAATTGACCATCTACCTTTTGTAAAAAGAGGTCACAATTACTTACAACCTTCCGATGTGAAATCTAATAGCTTAGGTATGTCACAAAATTCGAGAAAATTTATTTTGAACTTTAATCTTAGTTAAAGAAATAAATGCAACCACTCAATTTCACATCCAATGGTTAAGATTAATTGTGACCACCTTATGCAAAAGGTTAATGGTCTCATTATATACTTTCATATATATATATATATATATATATGAAAAAATCTAAAAAATATCTATAGGCAAAAATAAACAGTGTTCACCACTGTCACAGACTTGCTATGTTTGTGGCAGTTTATTGAATGGAGCCGCAACGAACGGTACGTGGTCCATAGCTGTCGAAAAATCCTCGCCACCCTAAAAAAAAGGATGGCGATGGCACTATTATTGAGTTTATGTGGCCTTTAAAGGCCTTATGAGTGATTGTGAGGAGACATCATGAACTCAGTGGAAGTGTGGTCCCTTATGGACCATACCATGCAAACGATGTTTGTAGATACCGAACTGTGCTTGACGATCTAAGCCAGTCAGTTGGAAAAAACTCATGTTACCAGGCATAAAGAATTAATCGAGAAGGGTTCAAATGGGTCATTCCTTTATGAGGTCGGAGTATATATCCGAATGAGTGAGCCGAGGGACTGTGTGACCCTTGTGTATGATGGTGGCCTACAGAGACGAGGGTCAAAGCCTCATTCATGTACCATCACACGACATGCATATTGATAGAGCGTTTGGGAAAGCGAGCAAGCTACCTTTTAAGGTGAAGTGTATGCATGTACGAGAGATACATCTATGCGCCATAAAGATGTGGTCGCATTAGGTCTAGGTGACCTTGACTCGTCTCTAGGGGATAACTTGAAATCCACAGACTGAGATTGAGACCCCTTGGCTCATCGGTCAGACTTTGATGACTCGCTAATGAGTCACTGCTTGGACTGTGGGTTATGGGCAACACTGAGTCAGTATGATTAAGCAAGCGCGGTCTGTAGTCTACAGTTGAACGTGGAGTGCCCCATTATTGATTTAATTCATTGATCATGTGGATCATTTTCCTTCAAATTAATTTAATTATGTTTCTTTTCTGATAGATATTATTTTAGAATGATTATTTGAATTTTTATAAACCCTTGGATATTTTATTTATAATATTTGAGTTTATAAAATTAAATATATTAATTTTTAATGATTTAAATATTCAAATAATATTCTAAAATTTATTTTTTATTATTTTTTAAATATAGAAATTTTTATGGGGGCATATTGTGCGTGTGGGCTTACCATATTCTAGAAGGTGGGGCCCATAAGTCTCTATATTGGGTGGCACACCACCTTTTTGAGTGGAAGGTTATCCCATGGGTGGCACCTCTAGCTCTTTATAGGATTTGTTAATATATTTTATCTCAAATTGGTTTGAGTTGATAAAGTGTTTTATCTTTAAGAGATTTGAGTAAATCTTTTAGAATGACTATAAGGCTTATGAATATATATTTTGGATAGAGCACAATATTTTCTTGATTAATTTTTATTCGATGTGATAATGGTTAAAGGAAATAGGGGATAATGGTTCAGCACATTCTGTAATGTTGATGGTCTATCTATGGAATGAATGACTCAGATCTCTCAACCCACAAGTCACCATTGATCGACGATTCAGATTCAATATTGTGAGGCAAGCAATGGATACCCTAACCTAATTCTCTATAAAAAGGGGTAATCCCCCTTCATTCTAATCACGCACCTCTCTCTCTCTCCTCTCTCATGCCCCATTCTCTCTCTCTCTTTACTTCTTAATAATAAAAAAACGGTCATCTCTCTCTCAAATTAATTATCATCTCTCCCAAATTTTGGTCAAAATCCTAGGGTTCAAGAAAAATAAAGAAGGGATAATTTTTTGTCTCAGTATTTTGGGGGATTGATCCTAAGAATCTTTCTTGAGCATAAGGGTTCAATTGAAGAGCTTGGCCGAAATTAGCTTTCCCGGTTGAGATTGGACGAAAACCGTCGATCCCACGCTATCGGATGGTGGTGACACGGTGTGGGGTGTAATAAGCCCAGTTGAGATAATATCTGACATTCTTTTTTTGTTTCTTGCATATTTAATTGTATAGTCGTTATATTCTCAAGCACAAGATTTATAGTAATTTTCTTTGATTAAAGAAAATTGGCTTAATAGCGTCAAATTTTTAAGATCTTGGATTTGTAAGGTTTTATTTTCTTTGAAGCAAGAGCTATTGTAATAAGGCTACTTATATGTGATATTTGCCAAAAGAAAAGAAAAGGGTGAAAAATATATATATATATATATATTTCTGGCAAGATCACATTGGCCTTTCTTTCAGC